CGTTTTTCGAGAATCTTGCCTCAGTTTGGTGGGCCGCGAGCGAGAGATAATTTTTGCGCAACGTTAACCTTTTTGGTCCTTGCGAGACGCGAGCCCTCTCGCTTAAACGAGCCACGACGTCCGCCCACCGAGCAATTTCTCACGATCGTTTCACAGCTTAATTTTTACAAGGAGGAAATTAGCATGAGCTGTGGCGACCGTTAAAGACCTTAAACGCCCTCGTGGCGATGATGGATGGCGATTGACCGCAACCTTCGTCGTCGTCCTCTGGACGGGACTTTATACGTGGCCATTGTTGCCTGACGATCACGGGAGGTAACTCAAAGACTCGGGACTAATTGTCGATCGTAAAACCACGGACGTACGTTATTACGCGCGAAATCGATGGTCGAACAGAGTCGCCGAGAACTTCGTCTCAAGCGGCATTTTTTCGGCGTTGACAGATGGGAAAGCCGATTGAACGCCAAAGAATGTCGTACCGCTAATCCTGCGACACTTGATACTGGAATAATATCCCATACGTTAAGATTCTCAAGGAATTTCTTTCTTCACCGAAGAATATTACAATACCAAAGCGCATCGCAGTCCCGCGTAAAGTCCGCCGCTCCCCTTCATAAGGATGAAATACGATCAGCAATATTGATTTCTTCACCGCGCGCGTATCGTTCATAAATCTCGCATCTCACAACGTAATCGCCGGTTGTCTCCCGCACGACGGGATATCTCTCCTTTGAACGTCTCGAATTTCTCACGTAGATAAGAAGTGATTAACACGCGACGACGCGGACGCGCTCTGCGCGTCGACGGTTTCGCGGCCGATATAAATGGAACGCATTTATCAGCGGATTAATTGATTCATTAAGTCCACAAAGCGGCAGGATTCGAATTCCGCGCGGGGTCGTTGAAACATCGACGGGTTCACCGAGGGTCCACAAGTCGCGCGTGATACGCCGGTCCCCCCTTAATCGATGGCATCATCGTTTAATGAATACACAGTGAGACTGAAGCACGCGCGGATTGCAGTCACACCGGTCGTAAATTATCCTCGCCATGGCTTTAATGCGGAAATAATAGGTGCGCGGCATTAACATATTCACAAATCACTGGTGTGCGGAGAAAGTCCGACGCGCGGGAGAACCTCTCTTGCTCGCAATTAATCGAAAAGAGAGATCAAGGGTCAATATTCCCTGTCGGGCGAGACTCTCTCGGATTGACTCTCGATTTTCCTCCGCATTCCGATTCTCGACGCGATTCGATCGTGCGTTGTGCAAAAAGCAACGAAGCGGGAGAAAGAGAGCAAAGAGATCCAGATTAATAATCGACGGTGTTGTGTTTCACGCGATTAAGCGCGCGCGCGATTTGTCGACGATCGAGCGGCCGTTCGGCGATACTTTATCGCCCTTATCACGCGCTTAATCGGCGTGTTGTCGATTATCGTCGGCTAACATTCGGTCCTTCGTCGCGATTTTTCAATGAATTACCATTAAATCCTTTTAATGGCCTGTCTCCCCCCCCCTCTCTCTCTCTCTCTCTCTTTCGATTCGTTCGACTTTGCAGCCGCGAGGTGAGTTATGGCGCAGTCCGTTGCGCGCTCACGGCATTACGTATTCATTACGCGGAGATAATAACACAGCGACGACGAGGCGGGGGGTGGGGCTCGCGAGCGGCAGGGCGATTGCGACGAAAGCTTCGGCGACTAATTAATCCGACGTGGTCGGCGTCGCGAGCGATAAAGTATAATGAGGGAGGAGCGGACTCGTCGTGTTTGCTCTTAATCGCATATCTATGACGCGAATGCCTGACAGTCACCGTAGCGCGAAATAACGCTCGCGTAAGCGCGCGACGCGATCACGTGTCGCGCTCGAATTCACGCTCTCCCGGGAAATTGAAACGAATTTCTCGGCGCACGCGTGCGCGAGAGGCGTGTAATCATCGAGCGAGGGTGAAATTGAAACTGTGCGAACCGCGCTCAGCCGCGGCGTTTCAATACTCGCGGCCGGCTGACGTGGGTAATTATCGGTGCAGAGTTCGCGTCCCTCTCTCTCTCTCTCTCTCTCTCTCTCCAAACTCAACTGGCCGGCGCGCAAGTCGCGGGATTTCTCCCGGCGCACGAGTGAAATTGGGTTAGGTCAAGCCGGGCTTCGGGCGAATGATGATGGTGTGCGGCGATGTGGAAGTCGATCTCGGGCGTCCCGCCGTAATCGGCCGATGAAACGGCGCTGCAAAGTATCGGGTTGCGAGAGGAGAGCGGGCTTAAACCCTAACCCGTAAACGCGCGACGACCAGTTGCACAATCACGACTACCGGCTCGCCAAATGAAGGTCTAAGGCTGAGAATGCGCCCTTTGTCGGCGCCTCCTCTCCTCGACGCACTTCCGCGCGCGCCGCCGACGTGAAAATACGTCCGGATGGACCGTCCTGTCCTGTTGATTTCAGGCAACTAGGACTTGCAGCAATTTTCAAGCAAGGGGAAAGGTACTTGGGCTCGCGCGTAAACACTCTTACAGCGAACTGACGCGGCAAGTCCCCCACGGACTTGCACGGACTTGTAGACACTCTGCACCTTCCCGTGCAGAGAGCTTTGAAGATCAGATACAAAGGGCAGCTATATCCACCTTCCGCTATCTGCGGCCTGCAGGCGTGTTATCTCCGTCTCCCGAGCTTCCTCCGATCAGAACAAAGCTGAACAAAGACCGAATGCCTGTGGCCACAGGTCATCCTGTTCAGCTGCAGTCTTCGTAGCCTCTCGTGGAGCGCGCTCAGTCTGTGTGTACAAGTCTGCGGCGAGTCTTTCAAAAGATGCTACTTCAGTTGGCTGCAAACGTCGCGATTCCGCCGCGAGTTGACTCAAAGCCGAGTACATCCGAGGGAGAGCCGCGAAAATCCCAAGTACCGTGACTTTCCTCTGGGAAAACTCCGTCGGCTGCTGCTCGCGCGGAAGTAACACGGTTTCCGACGTGAATCTTCATCGCGCTGCTCGGCCGATCTGAGACGACTGTCATTAGCATGGCGCGCGCGCGCGCGAGCGAACATTAAACTCGCGTATCGACGAAGACGGTCACGCGTAGCGCGACGACTCCGTCGGGGACCTAATAATTTCCCGTGGGGATCGCCATCGTGCATAAACGCGCTTTAAGTATAGCTGTCCCGTTAAAGTGACGCGACGGACCACCGTGGTCGATGGCGCGCGCGAGTCATCCGTCAAATTACAGCGAGCACAGCGAACGGCGGGCCTCTTCAGCAACCGGCCGGCGCTCGTGAATCGACGTGTATTGACAACTCACGTAGGACATGTTTACCCGTTTCCCTCTTGTGTTAATTATATCTTAATGGCGGCGGGATGTCACGGCGGGTGAGAGAAACGTCGCGCGCGCGGGGAAAACGCGTCTCGGTCGCTTCTTACGCTCGAGATAGGTGGAGTGGGTTCGCTTCTCTTCCTTTCGTATTTTCGCTCCCCTCCCTCTCTCTCTCTCTCTCTCTCTCTTTCTTCTTGCGAGCTATTCGATATAAATCTCTCGCGAGTCGCCGACTCGTAGTGCTGCGTTACTCGAGGAATTATTCTGTACTGACTAATGTTGCGCCGGCACGGACGTCCAGAATGAAAAAGTGGGAAATATCGTGCCGCGACGCAGGAATTATATTAGCGGCTATCGCGCGTGGAATCCGGATTCGTTTGTTCGATCGTTCATTCGTTCGTTCGTTCGTTCGTTGCTCGCGGTTCACAGTTCACTCGGATTACGACGGCTGGCTGGGCGTCTGGTAGCCCGGCGGAGGCAAAAATTATTCAATTAGCCAACACCGCCGTCGTGCCACCGTATAATGCCACTTGTTTTCCGTGACACTAATGCGTCCGCTCGAAACCGGACCAATTACTACGATTATTCCTATGTAGGTTAAGATAAGAGGCATTTTACGCGGGCATCCAATTCCATGCGCGCGATAACGAGCCGCGTTTGCTCTCACATGGACTAGAGAGAGAGAGAGAGAGAGAGAGAGAGAAGGAGGGGGAGAGAGAGAGAGAGAGAGAGAGAGAGAGAGAACGAGGGGGAGAAAGAGGAAAAAGGCGGCAGCCGTTGCCGTTTACCGCGTGTGGAATTTACGCGCTCGCGCGTGCAAAGTGTCGCCCGCGCGAGAGATCTAACGCTCTCCGGGGAGGAAAGCGGAAAGAATTCGCTGATTTGCGACTCTACGTCGCGCCGACGTCCCGTAAATCATGCCCGCATATTGTCGGGCTCCTCGGGACATCCCGCTAATAAATTGCCCGCAATACAGTTTACACGATTAATGGTACTTTCTCCCGCCGGATAGAGTCCTCCTGCTTACGTCGCGGTGCACCCATCTCCCGGTGGATCTTTCTCCCGGCGATGCGTCCGCCATGCGGCGAGGCCGCATTTATCGTCGAGAACGTTTATCGCCCAATCGATCCGATCCAGTCCGCGACGTTCTCCGATCTCGTGCCGTTAATACGCTTAATACGTTATCCCGGCAAATTATGCGTCGCGGCAGTTCATAATTATGATTACGGCCCCTCGCGCATGCCCGACGCACGCGGAATTGCGCGAGCGCCGACGAATTCGTATCGGCTGTGCGCGCTAATGTTTGCGTGACAATTAATCGCGGTTCTGCGAATCAATAAATCATGCGGAAACTTCAGCTTATTCAGCCCAGCCCGATCAAGGCGTAAAAATTGCGGGAGGAGATCGAGGCTGAGCGAGATAAGAGCGAGCGCGCGGCGAATCTCGCTTGGCATCTCGCAGTCGTCGTGTACACAAGGAAAAAGCTTAAGAAATAAGATCTTCTTTTAGAGCGCGTTAGAGAATCGAGATTAACTCTGTACAGAGTAAGAATCTGTGACGACACTGTTGCCACTATTTTTGCATACAATTGCTCGTCGGGATTTCGTTTTGCAAAATTTTTCACATGCCTTGTCGCTCGCCCGGCCAGTCGCGAGAGCGTTCCTCGATCCGCGAAAAGAAAGATACGAGGACGTGGAGGACTTACGTAAAATGTAAGCTGGACGGTATGGGACTTGTTGGCCACGCAGGTGAGCTCATCCGACTTGCAGCATCCCGTGTTGTCCGAGCACTCGTGCAATATGGCGCAGTGCGGATGGTAGTTGACGGACGGGTCCGGTCGCACGTCGCTAACCCGGATGACTTTTGCGCGCGGCCACCTACAGCTGGCTTCGTCTTTGACCTTCTCCGAATATCGCAGAGCTTCTCGGTATGCAGGATCTGCGGACAGACATTCGCGGACGGTTAGTCCGTTGGCCTAGATAGGATCAGATAGGACCTCATAATCGAGAGTAGTACAGGCGCGGTCGAAGAGCGGAGCTCTGCAAGCTCTCCGTCGTCGTCGGGTCGTCGTGAAACAATTTCGTGGTTATCCCAGGAAGCTTGGAACCTCACACCTACACGCATGCGCGGCGTTGTTCGACTCGCGCAGCGTGCCGTGTCGTAGACGAGAGAGAGAGAGAGAGATCGGCTTGATTCCGCAATTCCGGGATCTTAAATCCCCGAGTTTTGAGACTCGCGCCGACCTCGTCGAGCTTCCGGAGAGAAAGAGTCTGTGAATTATTATGAGTTATTGCGAAGGGCTTTTCGAACGCCGCATAGAGAACGAGAAGCGTCGTATGCGACATAACGAGCAGCGACGAGCGGGCGTTATCATCATGTTTCGCCGTCCCATCGGGGAACGTCCGCGATAAAGCGAGAGGCGAGAGCGAGGGATGGTTCAGATTGGAGAAAGAGAGAGAAGGCAGTCTCTCAGTGGCGGTTTTATCGCGATGGATCTTTGTATATCTCGTTAGATCCGCACCCGACACGCTCGGTTACCGATATAATATGAGTCGCGCGTGCGGGAGAGGCGATATTCGCGATCAAGATCGCGCAGTGGCTAGTTGGCTCGCTCGCTTCGCGGACGAGAACCTCTACATTAAGTGACATAAGTCGCCCGGGCTTTCTATTGATTCAACGTGGAGATAGCTAATCGCTTTCTACGCGCGTTTCACGTACTGTCGATAATTACGGCGACGCCGTCACTGTGTATAATTCGCTTGAGTGCGCGCGCGCGCGCGCGCGCACGCACGCGGAGAAACTGCAATGTATAGCCGGGGATCCGTAAATTCTAGTACAAATAATAACAGCGGCGAAACGTCCGTGTGAAAAGGAATATCCAAAGATGGATGTGAGATGATCGCTTGAGGAAGCGAACACAGAGACTCGCCGCTCGCCGCCACGTTGCTTACGACGGGGGTCGGGGGTCACGAGAGCGGCTGGCTGTCGCTGTGAGCAATCATCGCGGGGAAAGTGCGCTCGTTAACGTCCCCCATTGCGCGCCGTCTCTTACCATTGTCCGTCCTTGCGGTCGCCTCGTTTCCTCAGAATTATTCCGAATTACGAGGAAGCGGCGGCGGCGGCTGCGGCGAGACGCCGCGATGCACACGAGGTGTATTTTTAGAGCGAGATACGCGGACCGATTTGAGACTCGGCTGGCGCAGCTGTAATAAATTGCGAGTATTTGTCCGCGAGTAATTGTCGGGTCGATTACGCGTGTCGAACGACGGTGTCGATCGGCGGGACCGGGTTCGCCGGGCGCTTGCTTTTATGAATACCACCGGCTGCGTAGTGAGGCGCGTCGTTCCCAATCGAAAATTATCGCTGGTAGCCGTCAAACGCGCCGGGCTGATCGTGAATTCCAGTTGCTTATGGCTCGTCGGCTACTTATCCCCCATTAAAATGTCGTTTGTCGTGTCGGATCGCGGATTAATTTACGGATCGCTGCGGGGAATTGGTCGCGCTGAAGGTTAGAGTGTGTTAATACATTGTTAACGCGTGATCGGCGTGGAATGGCCGAAAGTGGTCGAATCAAATCGCCGGTATTCGGTCGGCATAGAAAGAAATTAGAAAAAGAGCGGTTAAAATATTTTTATTTATATTTAACGGGGTTATAAAATATTAAAATTTCCGTAAGATATTGTTTCCATCTTGTCGCGAAGACACCGATATTTTTATAACGAGGTTGTAAAATATTTAAATTTTCGTAAGATATTTTTTCTATTTTGTCGCTTGTTGTGCTTTATAAGTCTTTTTCTCGTATTCTTGTATGCAAATTTTTCATTACTTTCTCACGTCACATATCGCATCGAGGTAATTTTTTATAATTAAATAAATAATCGAGATTATTGATATATTTAATGATAATCCCACTTGTTCGCTCCAGCGAGATTTCCTCGAGGGAGGAATCGGCTGTGCGCGGGGAATTCAGCCGGGACGATCTCAGGACGAGATTTCTGAAGTGTAGTGTATCGTTCAGCGCGAAATCGTTCGGCCGTCTAATCTCGGCGATGCAATGGCGTTATGCTAATTTCATAGACGTAGGCGCGTTACTTCTGCCGGTTCCTGACCGCACTGTCACGAGATTGTATCGGTTGCGAGTTCGCACAATGACGACACGACCGTCAGGAATCCTGAAGTATGTGCTCTCACGCTCACATCCTGTATTCAAATATCCGTATTCCGGAATATATTATGAGAGAGAAAAGCGTTAAGATTCAGTCGTCCGGCGATTTTATAACTTTGAGGATAAGCCCGGCGAGCGCGCGCGCGTCCGTTCCGTGACATGTAAACTTTTAATCCCGCGTGCACGCTTAACGCCCGCGACAGCGAAAGAGAGGAAGAGAGCCGCGCGAAGTCGAGCTTATCGATAATTTACTCTTCCTCTTTCGCCGGTTTAGCTAGTCCCGCGTTAACTTAACCCCTGACTCAGCTCGAAAGTATTTGATCAACGGTGTCTGCCACGATGCCACGAAGGACACCGCTGGCGGGGCATACCCGACGGCGGGCACATCATGCCGCAAATATGCAAAATTATACGAGTTAACGGAATGGGATATCGTCTCCATGACGGCAAACGAATATTTTCCGCGAGAGCTTTTTTTGCTCGTTCTGCATTTGCTCGTATCGTTTGCTCGGCACCGCTTCTTCTTTCCTTCCTCGTTGATCGAGGATCTCGAAATCGACGAAAAAAGCAAAACGTAATGATAAACTCGGAACGGAAATTATACAGCCGCTGACTCGTCAAAATTCCACGAATCCGCGCCCAGCAAAGTGGTGGACGCCGCATGCAGAAGGAACGTAAGATCAAATTCAAGCAGCAAGCGAGTCGGTCGGTCGGTCACGTCCAAGAGTCGAGAGACCGTGAGATTGTCATGTTGAAATTCTCGACTGTGATCAGCCAATTCATTCATTGCGCGCGAGCTTTGTTGCCTACGTGCGCTACAGAGCGGACGCGCGTTGCTCCGACCTCGAAATCCAACCTCGAAATTTGGAAACTGGCAGAGTCTTTCCGAGAATCCGAATACCGAGACCACCTCCCGAAATCTAATTTTCCCGAAGTATACGATGCTTCCTAGGACGAGCTATTACCCCGAAAACAATTAATGTACACACAAATGTGTAACACCCGCCCATCTCTGTGCGGGCGCACTCTTGCTGTGTCTACTAACTGCCGCCTGCACGGAACAAAATCACCATATTTACTAAACTATACCGAACAAATCGATAAAGTAAATAAAGAAATATTTCGGGAGATTGTCCGGTTGTTCGGACTTTGTCCAGGAATGAGGATCCGACTTTTTAAATATATCGGGACATTACGCGCCCACCTACCGCGCTCCCAACCGCGGTCACCCGAAAAAGGCGATCGATGAGTCCCTCCGAGCGAGGCGCGCGAGATCGGCTATCGACCGGTGTGTGATAATAAATCGATCTCATTCAACGGAGGTATGAATCAACAGCCGACAATCCCGCGGCGCGCACGTGCGCGCGTGATACATTGCTCTCGCGGGGCGACACGAGAGTTCTTCACGCGGCCGGAGTTTGCCGCAGCCGCACGCGGCGCGCGCGCAATCATCGCCGTTAATTTGCATATTAATAGAGCGCCGTTTCCCGTGGAAATTCCGCCCCGTGTTTGCGCGAGCGCGCTTGAACGCGAGACGTTGCGATTCGATTCGAAGGGCTGTCGCGGAAGAGACTTCAACACGGCGATCGCGATAAATGGTGGAATGCTTTCGAGGATAAATGGGGAGTTCGATGAGAGTTAGGCGCGAGGGGGGCTCGCGGGTCCTGCAATAAATAATAATAATAATATGAGTTGGCCGGATTGAATCTGAATCGGCCGGAGTGAAGCGGAGCGACCGAAAAAGAAGCAACGCGAATGATTGTTCGCTCATGCAGAGTGAATTGATGAACTCTCGCATGGAAGAGTCCGAATCTGCTCCAAGCTCGTGTGAAATGTTCGCTCTTTTGCAATTTCCAACTTGGAGCGATATTTTTGTCATCGCGTCATTTTTCGCTCGCTTCGGTGAGAAAACTCCACCCTGAGTCCGAATTTAGAGGATAACACATAATAATGATTGATAATTGTAAATAGCAATGAACAATGATAAACGCCGACGTGGGAACACAAATTGCCGTATTTCGCGTGACGTATGCGTGCGTGCGTGTGTGTGTGTGGTGTGTGGTGTGTGGCGCATCGGAACATCGCGCCGCGTGATGACCGTTTTTACGAGAGATGGTGTCTGCTCGTCTCAATGAAAGAACCGTCTGCCATCGTCTGCCTTTCTCACGCGTTCGCTGCTCGCTCTCGTAGGTGCAAAGCACAAATAGCGCTTGTGCAATTGCGCAGACGGAGAAGGTGCACTGGCTCGAGGGACAAATAGAGGCGCTCGCGCCGCGCCGGTGCGCCGCCGCGTTGCGATCGCAGCGCGAACGAATTTATACCGCGTCTCGCGGCGGATAATTATAAAAACGTCCATTATGCTAACCAGACAGAGCCGCGACCGTGCGATATTTTACGTTACGTCCGCTATGCAACGCCGTGGTGATCTCGGGGCGCGCGCGCGCGCGCTCGCTCGCTCGCTCGCTCGGGAGAGTCCGCGGCGGCTGCGAATATCGCTCGATCACGATCGCGGCGATTGCCGGATGATTTATGCGCGCTTTCGGTTTCGTAATTGCGGCAGATCACCGCCGCGCGCCTCGCGTCCGGCCGATTGGCGCAAATAGTTACGTCTGCTGCATCATCCGAGGCAATTTCGCGTATAATGCCTTTAGTCGGACGGACAAGCGGCCATGTAAGTCGGTCGTTTGGTTTTCGTAAACCCTCTGCACACGACGCGCGTTCGCGCGCTCGCGCTCGCGCGCGCGCGCGCGCGCGAGAGAGAGAGAGCGGCGAAAAGCACGTCGATAATTACCGCGGGAGATGTCCGACGTTCGAGAGAGATATAGCCGTGTTATTAACGTTGATCGAACAGCGCGCACGGCACCGGCAACGGCGGGACCACCGGCGTGGTTTTAATAACGATTAATAACTATTTCGGGACATCTCCCGGGCCCGTTGAAATTCCTCGAGCCAGATCGACGGCGAAAACGCGGCCAATGACGTTGCTGCATTTGCGCATTTGCATAAACCGATTAAGAGGAGCAGAGTCGTCGCGACCGCGATCCACGATCGCGAGCCGCGCCGCCCGCCCACCCACCCCCCCCTCCTCGTTCCTCAGCCGATGGAGATGTTTCAGAATGCGAGTCTCTCTCTCTCTCTCTCTCTCTCTCTCTCTCGAGGGTTATTGATGCGCACTCGAGATCCAAAGTACACTTACGTCCTTTATTGTACACACCGTTTTTAATGTACTGCAACATGTTGCTCCTGGTCTGCGTGACGCTCTCGCGAGTGCCGAGTGTCCGCCACTTGTAGTCGCTGTGAGCAGACATCGGCGGGTAGTCGTTTTTCGGTTGGTATCCGCTGTACTGAGCCGCGGTGCCTCTTTCGTTGGCCTTTGCTTGGTTCTTACCGTCCCCGTTGGCCGGCCACTTGGGCGTCGTGCTCGTCGCTCTGGTCGTGATCGTGCTGCTGCTGCTGCTGCTGATCGTTGCAGACGCGTCGACTGCAGCAGCCTTGTCTCTCTCGCTATTGTCGTCGTCGGTGTATCCCTGCGCAAAACAACACGACGTATGCTTGAGGGGCGGAGATCTATCCAGCAATTGTTCGTGCACGCATTTCATTCATTCATCGTGTCATGTGGAAAAACGCAAATGCGGAATTAACGCGGGAATGTAATAAATGGGAGCTGGATAATTATTTAATAATTAATTAATTAAATCCCAGGTCGAATCTACCTCGACGTGTTGGCTATATCCTACACCGGTTGACTTCTCTTTCTTTACTTTGGACTTACTTTTCGCTCACTTGAATATAGATAAATTATTTACATAAATAAATTATTTAATGTAGCAAATATTTTACCACGAAATAAACGCATTTTTACGGTCGGTCGAGAGGAAGAAGAAAAGCGGCTTTGAATTTCTCGCATTCCGCATCGCGATGATGGAACGGTATGAGACGAGACGGCGTCGACGCGAGATCATCGATACGGACATGACAGAATATGTAACACCATTCGCGGACTACGATCGCATGAATTATTTAGCCGCGAGGCGATCCCCTTTCGATCGTGGGTGGCCAACACGCCCCCCCGTGAACCCTCGGCAGATTTCCTCTCCGAGATAAGTTTAATAGGCGAATTTGCATCTCCCCCCGCGCCGTGTGTACGCACCTTCTCCCGAGCTCAAAGAGAACGCGGGGACCTACTTAATCGCCGTCTGCAACATCTGGAGCCTTTGATGTCGTGCCGCCTAGTAGAAACAATTCTCGCGAACGCGTGCGCGCTGTGAATCCTAGGGAGAAATTTCTCCGCGGCCGTTCGTCTCTCGCGATTCCGCTCGTTCTCCGTTTTATCGGCGGGCGTGCGGATCGCCGCCGAGTGGGAAACCGGCGCTCAGCGTCTGGCCTCGCGGCGATGAATTATTTATTCACCTCAGTCTCAACAAGCAATGAGTTTAATTGTTGCTCAACTGCAAGAAGAATATTGCGCGATAAACGAATCTTAAGTAATCTAATAAAGATTCCTTGGTAAATGGATAAACAATGAATATTTTCTCCTTTTATGATCTGGTCGTTAGCTTTTATTAGCGAATTTCCCAGCGAATTTTGAGGACGATTCAAAGGGGACGATGAGAAATAACGCATACGTACGTTCGAGGAGTTACTTTGGCGCATACGCGACGTAAATAACAGTTATCACTTGTTACGTCGGACGCTTGTATTTATGTTCTTTCTCTTACATATTTTCACGGTGACGAATACGATTTCATTCGTCTTGCTCGACCGCTTTAGATCTTTGAAGGAGATACTTTTTTCTTTTTGTATCGATCGACTTAAAGCGACAGCTGAAAGCATTCCGTCCTCAGCGATCGATTAGTTGTAAAACGCTCTCCGCGCTCTTTCATACAACGAGAAATGTTGATGCAAATAGCCGAATAATGGCCCCTGCGAATGTATAATTAATTATGCTCGCCAGTCAGAGATCGTACATATACATAATTTATAGCTACTAATATCGACCTATTACCCGGCGACTAGTGAATCGAGTGTTGCGTAAATTCTCATTCACGTCTATCGTGTTTCGATCGCGATTCGGCCGCTCCTATCAATGATTGAGACGTCGATCTTTATCGAAAGATTTATTTCGCTAATAGAAAATAGTTTCTGCAATCGACGAAAACATCTCGCATCGTGAGTTACTGAGTTACTGAGCTCACTGAGCCGTAGGTAACGCGAGATTTCACAGAAGTGCCTTTGTTCGCGCGGTAACCTTCGCGCGTTCAGCAGCATGTGGCCCTAACGATGAACGGTCAGACCTTCCGAAATTTGCGATGCGCTCAAATGTACCATTATGTGGTCCTAACGATTCTTAAAACTTTGATAATCAGTATCCGTACATGTAACGATACATGAACGCGATAAATTTATCGGGGATCGCGTATCAAATATAAAATATTAAATATCGATATTGAATAATTAAATATTATTTTATAGTGTAGCACAGATTGACATTGCAACGATAGAGCAACGTTGAATTATTATAAATAGACCATGTACCGCCGGTGTCAATACGTGCTCAAGCGTGTTGTCGTTTTGGAGGTCGCGTGACTTTTGGAAGGGTAATATCAATAAATAGGCTCCGTACTCGTGGAATCCTTACAGTTTCTCGTACACAGCCGAGCAGATCGGAAGACGTCACGCGGTATTTCCGCGATTATTTTGCATTTATTACAGCCTGTGTGTGTATGTGTGCGAATGAATCGAATTGTGATATTTCACGAGTGTGATCACAGTGCTGAGAACATAAAGTATGGAGATATTCGAATATTCGAAAGGTAATCGTATTATATTGCATTTTTATTATATTTAAGAAAAAACGTACAATCGTGTATGTTGATTCTTAATACTCCCGCGCTGAACAGCTTCGTATTCTCTCGATTTATCGAAACTGAATAACCTTCCTGTCGCTAATTACTAACCAAGGAAATTGTATCTTTGTGTTTCAGTTCTGGCAGATCTCGCGGCCACATCGCGAGAGCAGTTGCAGTTCCGGGGGGACGCGGATGCCGTACCGGAGGACCCGGTTCGGGCCAAGCAGGGTCGGCTTGAAGGTAAATTTATAACTTTCCTGCACTTCTCTGTTTAACCTTTTACGATCTAAGATATAATTGTCGATATGACTTGAGTTACGATCGTGGGAGGTTGATCCACTCTTACCTGCCCAGTGCCCACACATTCGCTGGTTGAACCAAATTTTTATATCTAATCATCTCCGTTGTTTTGTTCTAGATTTGAAGCGGAACGTGGCCGACCCTGACTGCAAGTCGTTTCGGTGAGTGAGACGAAAAAACATTTTTGTATGTCTGAAGCATGTTTATACGAAGTAGTGTCGTTAAAATCAGTGCGAATTGCTTGTAGTTTCTTGCATATATTTGTGTCGTAAGACAAAATATATTGCTCGAGAAAATTAAGGATCGTGTTTCATGAAGAATTCTGTGCATTGTGCAAAATGCCGATTTGTTCTTTCTTAATTTTTAGTAAAGATACCTGATAATTGCGGGACTTGAATGATTGTTTTCTCTTGGCCTCCGACTGGAGCTATCGAATTATCTTGCGATATTATTCATTCAATACGATCCCTTAGTTATGTCGAGTATTATATAATGCGCATTGATATTGCGCCACCGCACGCTGAGCTGGAGGTTACCTCGCTCGCGTGGATTTCGCAACTGCCGCGGTCATTAATTCATGCGCGTTTCCGCGCCGCGATTATTTTGCAAATAGACGAGTCTCGGTCATTTCATTTCGCAAAAATATCACGTGTTTCGATAACGAAGCTGTCACGCGTGAGAGAATTTCATGCCAAATTCTCGAACATTCAAGTATCGTTCGCGCTGCAATAAATTTTGCGAGAATGGTTTTCTGTCGGCAATTATTTAAATTCGCGGTGCGATGATTTTGTTCAAAGATACCGATTTATATCTTTCATTATCGTCTTGTCACCGATTTTCGATTCTCATCGATTCTCGCGCTCAAAACGCGAGCGTGTCAAAACGCGTCGCGAAGGTTTGCCGAAGGTGATCTTTCCGATCGCCAATTTTCGCAATTGCACATTTCCTTAATGCCGAAATTTACTATACTGCGACGTCCGTTAAGCGATTCTGCAAATTTCAATCTTCTTTTCGTGAATCAAACCCGCCGATTTCGCTCGAAAGCAAAACAAAACACCACGTCTTACTAATAACGTCCGATATATCCGATAATAAACATGAAAAGTAAATACAAAACACGCCGCCTAGAAAAAAATTTCGCGTCGCGAATTATAGGATAAGTACCTATCAATGTGGTACGACGCAAGAAGAACGACCTTTCCTCGGGGTCATCCTGTTGGTGATCGTCACTGGATCGTTGACTGGGGATCCTGAATGGACGTCGAGGGATGTCAACACAATGGTGAGCGTTAAATCCAACGCTCACAAAGAGCTACCTTATAATGTAGTGCATGCCGCAAATTCGCATTGATCTCCAACGAAAATAGTTAAAATGTTGACTTTTATTGCTACGGCTTTTATTATTGCGACTGTCACGATTGTTTAATATTTTGACATATAACCATCCTATGAATATACGATATTTTAACGGCGCATCCTGCCCTTTTGTGGGATAGCTTAGCTAAATTTTTCACACTGCCAAGCCGCAGGTAAAAAAGAGCGAATTGGAAATGAGGAGAAGAGATATTTATCTCTTCCGATTATTTGAAAATCCGGTGTCTCGTGACTTAGGCTATGCGATAGCTGTTTTTTTTTCCCTTTTTTTTTTCGTCTTTCTAATCCGACCTACCTTTTTGTAAGATCAGAATAGGAGAGAGGAGCCCCCTCCCGTGCCGGGGCTCTCGATTTAGCAGGAAAGATCCGCCAGGCACTTTGATCTCCGCTCGCAGAAAGCCGAGATTTTCTCTTTTAGTCCGTCGATAAATTTAAGTGTATCAGGTATATATCCCGACGATATATGCCGCGCTATCGTTAACGATCCCGTAGGAATCAGGCTCGGGGAAAAGGTCAGACGGTCCTCGGTTTAAAAGTGGCTCCGCGATTCCTCTGAATCTCATCTTCAGATACGAGCGCGCGTCTCGCGGCAGGCGTGGAAATAACGAGTCTCCGAGTTCCAAATCCACCGATATAGACCTCGCGATATACATTGTGTACGAATCTCTTCCACGATGATATTCCCGATCTACTCGTGCCATTTTTACATCCTCACCGAAACTCTCGAGCGAACCGCCGATCGATAGATCTCTCTCCCGTCTGGTGAAATCACGCGCGCGGTCGCGGCGTTGTTCTGTCGGCAGCTCTCTCGAGTCGCGATTTCCGCTCTCGAGGAATCACGATTGTTCGCCACGACCGTTAATCCCACGTTGAATCGCACGAGTCGTATTTGCGGAGCGATAAGGATAACCTTGGCGGGGTGTCGGCCGGTACACGTCCACTTGTTACACGACGTACGACCGCGCGCGTATACGATCGCCCTCGCAGTGATTCTCGGAATCGAG